ACAAGATGATCTGAACCTTTAATGGCACATACTCTGCTTTTATGCAATTCTCCCCTGCAAGGGAGACGCCCACAGACAATTATACATTACCCAATCACACAATGGTTACATCCCACACATCTCCTCCCCTTAGCCTGAGAAGTAACCCAATTATCAATACATTTTAAAACACACTTTTTACCCAACTTTCATAACTCTAAAACCATACATCCAATATTAATAAAAGTCACATATTATTAATCAGCACATCCCAAATACAAACATACCCACAAATCATGCAAATCCTTCCATTAGTTCAAAAGTTAGTTAGAAGTCCTTTGTGACCAAAGGAAGCATGGCTTTTCCTGCCCAAACCAGTTCCCACTGGTCTGGCAGTGTCCCTGGGACAACTCCCTGCTGGAGAACAATAGACAGGAAACGGGGGAGGGGAAGAAACACACCTTCCCATGGATTCCAATGGGAAGAAACTGTCTTGAGAAGCCAATAAGCCCCAAATAGTCTTTTTAAATGGCAATACACCCCAGGGCCATAGTCATGAGGAAGGAGGCTGGCAATCAGGCTCCTCCAAAAGCCGGGAGCAAAGGGCAGCTTGTCACCTAACAATCCAGGGACAAAAGGCATTTCGTCACAAGGGGCTCTGAGGACAGGTGTCAATCCATATCTGCCAAGTGACCCTATGTAGGAGGAACAGTCTCTATTCTGCTCTGTGTCAGTGTGTATCAGGGTCCTGAGGACAGGTGTCAATCCATATCTGCCAAGTGACCCTATGTAGGGGGAACAGTCCTCTATTCTGCTCTGTGTCAGTGTGTATCAGGGATCCTTGAGGACAGGTGTCAATCCATATCTGCCAAGTGACCCTATGTAGGGGGAACAGTCTCTATTCTGCTCTGTGTCAGTGTGTATCATGGTCTCTGAGGACAGGTGTCAATCCATATCTGCCAAGTGACCCTATGTAGGGGGAACAGTCTCTATTCTGCTCTGTCAGTGTGTATCATGGTCTCTGAGGACAGGTGTCAGTCCATATCTGCCAAGTGACCCTATGTAGGGGGAACAGTCTCTATTCTGCTCTGTGTCAGTGTGTATCAGGGGCTTTGAGGACAGGTGTCAATCCATATCTGCCAAGTGACCCTATGTAGGGGGAACAGTCTCTATTCTGCTCTTTGTCAGTGTGTATCAGGGATCCTTAGGATAGGTGTCAATCCATATCTGCCAAGTGACCCTATGTAGGGGGACCAGTCCCTATTCTGCTCTGTGTCCGTGTGCATCAGGGGCTCTGAGGACAGGTGCCAATCCATATGTCAAGGTGCCAATATGTCATATGTCAGGTGTCAATCCATATTCATTGCGATTTAGGAATGTTAGGTGATTTATGCCCTTTATGGATGAAAACCAGACTCTGCATCAACTGTGTAATTTTCCATGGGAGTTTTGCCATGGATCCCCCTCCGGCATGCCACAGTCAAGGTGTTAGTCCCCTTCAAACAACTTTTCCATCACTTTTGTGGCCAGAAAGAGTCCATGTGGGTTTTAAAATTCGCCTGCCCATTGAAGTCATTGGCGGTTCGCCGGTTCGCGAACATTTGCGGAAGTTTGCGTTCGCCATTCGCGAACCGAAAATTTCGTGTTCGCGACATCACTACTGGTAATATAGTATTACCTGAAATTAAATTTTTTTGTGTATAATTATAACATATAGAAGAATGTATACCTACTCTGACAGGGTGAATGATGTGTTAGGTTGAATGATGTACAATGTATTACTGTGTTCTTTAGACTGAATTATCTGTTGGATACGAGTTTAAATTGCTATAATAAAATTCGACTATTATGTACAAAACAATCTGATAAAAGAACACATGGTTTGTTGCGTGATTTTAATTGTATTGTATTGTATATGAAAAATTTTTCCAATAAAGAATAATAAGAAAAAAATAAAAATAAAAGAGGACCAGGAACAGATCATTGGGGAACAGACAGAGACAGGTAGCAGAGAGGAAGTGGCACCAGAGAGAGAGACACTAAATGAGGATTTAGAAAGATGGGATGAAAACAAGGAAAGTACAGTGTTGTGAAGTCCAAGGTTGAGGATGATTTAAAGAGGTAGACAGTGGTCAACAGTAAAAAAAGACAGCACAGAGTGAGTATAATTAAGAGAGAGTAATTACCTTTGAAATAAAATTTAGCAGTGATTAAGTTGTTGGCCTCTTTAGTAAGGGCAGTTTTAGTAGAATGGAGGGAGCAGAATGAAGGGGGTCAATGAGGGAGTTAGTATTGAGAAGGTGAGTTAGATGGGTAAACACAACTTATGCATGTGACAGTGAAAAGTTAAGGCATATTGTCTATTTTCGAGACTTGCAAATTCAGATTCGACTAAATATGCATTTGTCCAAATACCAAATGGCCAATTTACATTACATAGCTCATACAGATAATTTATTTACTCTTTTAATTAAAAGTAGAATGCTTAGCCTGGAAAAGCCCATTATTTTAATAGTTACAACAGAATTTTCTGGGGGGTTTTTGGCACTGTATTAAGAAGGTAGAAAACATCTGATGGTAAGTATAATTCTTTACAAGAGGAATTTAGTTTATTATTATTAGGGAGGAGGTGGGCTAGTTTATTTATTATTATTATGATATTTATAGAGCACCATCAAATTCTGCAGGAGCTTTACAATGGGTGGACGAACAGACATGTAGTTGTAACCAGACAAGTTGGACACATAGGAACAGAGGGGTTGAGGGCCCTGCTCAATGAGCTTACATGCTAGAGGGAGTGGGGTAAAATGACACAAAAAGGTGAGGATAGTATTAGACTAGTGACAGTTGCAGAAGAGGAATCAGTCAGGAGCTAAGTGGCCCTTGGAGTCCTATGCATTGGGGGGTGGATTTTCTTACCAATAGACACATTTTTGGGTTGTGGTCAATAGTAAGTGCACATTCTTTTTATATTTTATGATTAGCTTCCGCCAATAGGTCGAGTCTGTGGGAGACATTATGTACTACCAGGCTAATATTTTTTAAAAGCCACCAACACACTACTAATGACTGGGGTGGGGTTAGCCCCCTCCCTCCCCCCAAGTTTATATTATTTTAATAGCCCCCACCCACTGCCAACAGTCAGGGATTATTGGGGCAATATGTCCCCCCAGGTCATTATGTGCTATTTGACTTTTAATTTTGCAAAAAGTGCTGGTTTCAATACAATATTAAACTTTTATAAATTAACCTGGTTATACCCCCTGGCTTTCAAGCAAACAACAATTACTTCCTGGTTTCCTTAGTTCAATGGAGCTAAACTCAAAAGGCAGCAGTTGCCCAGAACACCTGCTTTGCAAAGACTTCTCATTAAGCTGCATTGGAAAGTCTGTGATTGGACAGCGACAGAAAGGCTGGGCGAGGTTAGAAATGAAGGGCTTGTAAAGGCTGCATATAAAAGATTTGCAGCTTTTGCGAGCTGTTTTTTTTTTTTTTAAATATACCTACAACAAAAAATATGTATAATTAAATATTATTATAATTTTGTATTTGGGCCGTGTATATTTTTAACTACATAAATTCAGTTGTATAGACTTTTTCTTGTCTTTATTATCTCTATAATTATTTATTCTTAATGTGCTGATAACTGCTGTTAATAAAATAAAAAATAAAAAAAGATGATTAACAAAAAATATATAATTGATGGCTAGGGAACAGACACAAAATATTGATTTTATTCAAAGACCAAATTAGAAGTGACAGAGAGAGAACCAAATGAAAGTATGCCTATCAGCATACTTCAAATTATATATATTTATGTAATCATAAAATATTTTACCAGGAAGGATACATTGAGATTTCTCTCATATTCAAGAATGTTCTTGGACCATGAACACTGCATCGTTACAAGAGGGTACAATATTACAAAATAATAGTAATACACAACACACACACACACACACACATATATATATATATATATATATATACACTTAATACAGAATGGGTAAGAAATAAAATCAACGATGATTACAGGTGCATTTTGTTTTGAGATATGTAGAGAGGCATGTTAGGCTGGGGGTAGAAGTGCCCGAGAGAATATTTCATAATTGCAATGCTCTGTAGGAAAATGAGGATCGAGACACTTTAGAAATCTGCTGCTTTATATATTTTGCAGTACACTCATTAGCCCATTTTGCACACTATTTGGTTTGTCCATATATTTCCCTGAATAATTTTCCATGGTCAATATTCGATCAAACCATTACATGAATGAACAAAGGATACACCAAACAAAATTTGAATTAATTGAAAAAATATTAAGCCAAACCAAACTTCCCCACTATGCACATGTCTAACTTGTGAGCCTACAGCTGTGTGCTGGCGTCTTCATCCTTAAGCATTTATTGTTTTTAGTGACAGAAGCAAATGTGCAAAACATAAAGGTTAATTTTTAAACAAAAAAAATATATGTAAACCTGTGTATATCCTCTCATTGTGTCTTCTGTCTGTAAACATTTTCACAGCAGAAACAAAAGTGATTTCACTCCTAAATGGCAGATAACTGAGCAGTGAGACTGCAGAGGCTTGATCTATACCTGTATATCAAAACTGCTTCATTAAGCTCAAGTTGTTTTGGTGACTATAGTGTCCCTTTAATTTGAAATGAGGTTCCTGTGTTCTATTTGTACAACATGTAAAGAACCTTGTTATGCTCCAATTGTGCTTGTATTGCACCTTTTATACACCTCAATAAAAAAAATCTTAAATGCCTCCCCATAACGTAACTTTCAAAACTAGTCGTTTTTCTACTCCCAGTGCTACGAATATGGAATTGTCAAATGGAAAGAGTCAAATGAACAGGCTTTGCAAATATAGTTATAGTGTTTTATACCTTTAAAGTTTTGTTTTTGTGTTTTTAAAAGAGGCATTGACAGCTCTCAGGTTCCATATAAATACATGCGCCTTCAGTGCACTGATAAACATGATACTTCCAACGCTGGAACTTGTTTCTTGACTCTATTAGGTATTCTCATCTTGGTCCCCAAGAACGGATCATCGAAAGCTCCTCCGTGATATTTGATTGAAGAAAATCACTCATCGGACTGTCTTCTTGTTTTCCCACATGGCTTTATTTCTCCAGATTATTCTTTTGCCTTACCCTTATTTCTTTTACCGATAAATTTGATTTGACGTGGACTGGATACTGGACTCTCACTCTTCCAGTTCCTCACTGCTGGATTAATTGCTATTAACCTCAAAAACATTATAAGGTCTTATGTGTTTTTGAACTCTGAAGATTTTTTAGGTTTTTCGGTTAAATAACAAGCCTCACATAGAAGTATTTTGTTTTTGACTAAATGCAGTTTAAATTTCTTTTAATTTTATTTGGGATTAATGAAATAAAGGATATAAGCCACCTGTACCAGAACTTCTTCCCATCTCCTTCTAGCCTCCACAGTATTTAAAGGTAAAACATTTAATTCATTTCTGTGCTCGCAAATAACCATTTAGTGAATAATCTATTGTAAGTCTAGAATATATACAAACATAAAGTATGTTATATTATATTCGAAGAATTGGTCACTGAGCTAATTTTCCAACTCAAGCATATACTGGCAAGCTAACGTTTAATATGCTTTTTTTTTGTAAAAAAAATTAAATATATATCATAAAAAAATTAAAAATATCAATATATGAAAAAATAAAACATGTTAAAATAATAAATCATATTAAAAATGTATCCAAAAATGTTATATCATTGTTAAATCATTTGAAAAGCTTAACCAACAATATTAAATCAAGATCATAATCTGGGTCTTTGCACACACACAAAAATTTTTTTTTAATCTACAATAGATAAGGTAAAGGTGCATATTTACTAGCCATTGTCTAAAATTAACTCTGTCAAGTAAAATAGTTTTGTGTCCCAGTTCCATTAGACTTATTTTAAATCCATTTCTTGTGGTTTAAAATCTAATCCAGATCTATGGAATGCAGAGATGATTGATCAGGTTTCCCAGAATATGTTGTTACTCAGAATCTTTGACATGTTCACCTCTTTTGTTTGAGCATTAAAGTTGATAAAAGAAATACAAAGCTGGGTTGTATTTCTGTTGTGGCAGCACGGTGTCCTGGTTACCTTGCTGAACGTATGATCATTCTTTATTTAAGCAGGGATTGTAGCCTACCCCCTACAAAACGGTGCTTTGGCATGTGAGTTTCCACATGAATTGTTTATTTTCATGATACACACAGTTCTGAGGTTTACAGAATCCACCCTTCGCATGCCATGGAGATTGTCCACCACTTCCTATTATCAGCGCGGGATTGAGAGAAGTTACACATTCTATCGTGGACACATACCTACTGACACTGAAACGGTTAATGTATTATAACCAATACAGGCGATGTAGAGGTTATATTTTAGAAGTACTCTGGCGCGATTTCCTGACTAAAACCGTTTGCTCTCTTATCTGGGATTGCCTTCTTATCTGCACATAGAGACTAGGCACCATGATCACATCAAATCACTGAAAGGCTTATGGTTCTTGTAGTAACCCTTCTAAAGTATCCATTTATATATCAGTAGGTGTCATTTCCGGGTTGCTGCCCTCACAGTTGGCAGAATTTCCAATGTGAACATTGCAGTGCACTTATAAAGGAAAGCAGTGTGTCAGTTTGGGGGGCGACAAAGTAGAAATTGGGGGTATAGAGTCATAATTCTTGACCCTTGTGAACACTTAGTCACGATTCGTCTAGCTGATAATGATGGGAGTTACAATCCACATCTTGAGTGCATTCACCTACTAACCCTAAACAATTTCAAACCCTAAGCCCCCGAAGGCTATGTCCCCCTAAATAAATTTTCCTGAAAATGCTATACATCTGTTACTTTCAAGCATTTTTTTTATCACTTAAAGTTCGTCCCCAGAACTTGCTCTGCACACAGATGTCCCCAGAACTTGCTCTGCCCGAGATGTTGTCCCCAGAACTTGCTCTGCACGCAGATGTAATCCCCAGAATTTACTCTGCACCCAGATGTCATCCCAAGAACTTGCTCTGCACACAGATGTAATCTCCAGCAATTGCTCTGCCCCAGATGTAATCCCCAGAAATTATGCACCCAGATGTCACCCTCAGAAACTGCTTTACACCTATGTTAACCCCAGAACTTGCTCTGCACCCAGATGTCATCCCCATAACTTGCTCTGCACCCAGATCTCATCCCTAGAACTTGCTCTGCCCCAGATGTCATCCCCAGAAATTTCTCTGCACCCAGATGTCCCCAGAAATTGCTCTGCACCCAGATGTCCCCAGAAATTTCTCTGCACCCAGATGTTATCCCCAGAACTTGCTCTGCACCTAGATGTCGTCTCCAGAAATTTCTCTGCACCCAGATGTTCTCCCCACAACTTGCTCTGCCCCAGATGTTGTCCCCGAAATTTCTCTGCACCCAGATGTCGTCCCCAGAATTTACTCTGCACCCAGATGTCGTCCCCAGAAATTTATTTGCACCCAGATGTCATCCCCAGAAATTTCTCTGCACACAGACGTTGTCTCCAGAACTTGCTCTGCCCCAGATGTCGTCCCCAGAACTTGCTCTGCACACAGATGTGATCCCCAAACCTGCTCTGCACCCAGATGGCATCCCCACAACTTACTTTGCACACAGATGTTATCCCCACAACTTGCCCTTTCCTAGATGTCATCCCCAGAACTTGCTCTGCACCCAGATGTAATCCTCAGAACATGCTCTGCACACAGATGTCATCCCTAGAACTTGCTCTGCACCCAGATGTAATCCCCAGAATTTGCTCTGCACTCAGATGTCGTCACCAGAAATTTCTCTGCACCCAGATGTAATCCCCAGAACTTGCTCTGCACTCAGATGTCGTCCCCAGAAATTTCTCTGCACCCAGATGTTGTCCCCAGAAATTTCTTTGCACCCAGATGTCGTCCCCAGAAATTTCTCTGCACAGACGTCGTCTCCAGAACTTGCTCTGCCCCAGATGTCGTCCCCAGAACTTGTTCTGCACACAGATGTGATCCCCACAACTTGCTTTGCACACAGATGTCGTCCCCAAAACTTGCTCTGCACCCAGATGTCGTCCCCAAAACTTGCTCTGCGCCCAGATGTCGTCCCCAGAGATTTCTCTGCATCCAGATGTCATCCCCAGAAATTTCACTGCACCCAGATGTCGTCCCGAAACTTGCTCTGCACCCAGTTGTCGTCCCCAGAACTTGCTCTGCACCCAGATGTCGTCCCCAGAACTTGCTGTGCCCCAGATGTCATCCCCAGAACTTGCTCTGCACACAGCTGTGATCCCCAAACTTGCTCTGCATCCAGATGGCATCCCCAGAACTTGCTCTGCACCCAGATGTCGTCCCCAGAATTTGCTCTGCACCTAGATGTAATCCCCAAACTTGCTCTGCACCAAGATGTTATCCCCACAATTTGCTCTGCACCCAGATGTCAACCCCAGAACTTGCTCTGCACCCGGACGTCGTCCCCAGAAATTTCTCTGCACCCAGATGTAATCCCCAGAACTGATGTCGTCACCAGAAATTTCTCTGCACCCGGATGTCGTCTCTCGAAATTTCTCTGCACCCAGATGTTGTCCCCAGAAATTTCTCTGCACCCAGATGTCGTCCCCAGAACTTGCTCTGCACCCAGTTGTCGTCCCCAGAATTTGCTCTGCACCCAGATGTCGTCCCCAGAACTTGCTCTGCACCCAGATGTCGACCCCAGAATTTACTCTGCACACAGACGTCGTCTCCAGAACTTGCTGTGCCCCAGATGTCGTCCCCAGAACTTGCTCTGCACACAGTTGTGATCCCCAAACTTCCTCTGCACCTAGATGTCGTCCCCAGATTTCTCTGCACCCAGATGTCATCCCCAGAAATTTCTCTGCACCCACATGTAATCCCGAAACTTGATCTGCACCCAGATGTTGTCCCCAGAAATTTCTCTGAACCCAGATGTCACCCCCAAACTTGCTCTGCACCCAGATGTCGTCCCCAGAGATTTCTCTGCATCCAGATGTCGTCCCCAGAATTTGCTCTGCACCCAGATGTTATCCCCAGAACTTGCTTTGTACGCAGATGTCGTCCCCAAAATTTGCTCTGCACCCAGATGTCGTCCCCAGAATTTGCTCTGTACCGAGATGTAATCCCCAAACTTGCTCTGCACCCAGATGTCGTCCCCAGAAATTTCTCTGCACCCAGATGTAATCCCCAAACTTTCTCTGCAACTTGCTTTGCACCCAGATGTCATCCCCAAAATTTGCTCTGCACCCAGATGTTATCCCCAGAATTTGCTCTGCACCCAGATGTCGTCCCCAGAACTTGCTCTGCACCTAGATGTCGTCCCTAGAGACTTCTCTGCACCCAGATGTCATCCCCAGAAATTTCTCTGCAACTTGCTTTGCACACAGATGTCATCCCCACAACTTGCTCTGCACCCAGATGGCATCCCCAGAACTTGCTCTGCACCCAGATGTCGTCCCCAGAATTTGCTCTGCACCTAGATGTAATCCCCAAACTTGCTCTGCACCAAGATGTTATCCCCACAATTTGATCTGCACCCAGATGTCAACCCCAGAACTTGCTCTGCACCCGGACGTCGTCCCCAGAAATTTCTCTGCACCCAGATGTAATCCCCAGAACTGATGTTGTCACCAGAAATTACTCTGCACCCGGATGTCGTCTCTCGAAATTTCTCTGCACCCAGATGTTGTCCCCAGAAATTTCTCTGCACCCAGATGTCGTCCCCAGAACTTGCTCTGCACCCAGTTGTCGTCCCCAGAATTTGCTCTGCACCCAGATGTCGTCCCCAGAACTTGCTCTGCACCCAGATGTCGACCCCAGAATTTACTCTGCACACAGACGTCGTCTCCAGAACTTGCTGTGCCCCAGATGTCGTCCCCAGAACTTGCTCTGCACACAGTTGTGATCCCCAAACTTCTTCTGCACCTAGATGTCGTCCCCAGATTTCTCTGCACCCAGATGTCATCCCCAGAAATTTCTCTGCACCCACATGTAATCCCGAAACTTGATCTGCACCCAGATGTTGTCCCCAGAAATTTCTCTGAACCCAGATGTCACCCCCAAACTTGCTCTGCACCCAGATGTCGTCCCCAGAGATTTCTCTGCATCCAGATGTCGTCCCCAGAATTTGCTCTGCACCCAGATGTTATCCCCAGAACTTGCTTTGCACGCAGATGTCGTCCCC